GCTATCATCATAATTTTCAAGAAAGACTTTTCCCAACCATTTTTAGGAAACTCACAGGAACTTGAATCAACTTTCTTCCTCCAGGAGGTGGCCAAACAATACAATTGATGAACCAACATGTGACAAACTTTGTTTTGATAGACGAATTGTACCACTTTTATATCTGACTTGCTTGAAGAAAGAAGATACCAGAGATCAACGAGATAACCTTCCTACCAATGCAAATGGGTTAAATCAAGGGGAATAATCCTCTTTATTTTTTCATATCTTCACCAAAAAACCCCATCATCAAACCAAATGCTAAAGTATTTATTATCAATACAACAACTTCTTTCTTCCATGACAAATCATGGCAAAAGTGAGAAGATAAAACCAATGCCCAAAGGATCACTAAAGCTAAGAGTGAAATGAAAAAAAAAAAGAAAAAAAGATGAAAAACAACTGGATGACGATGGGCAAAGCTACTAAATGAAAATTGTTAGAGCAAAACAATGGAGCATTGATGGTTGAGCTGCTGACTAACAACAGATGCAAGCTATGTGTGCTCAGGGAAGAGAAAATAAAACTCAAAGACGTGGATAAGCCCACCCAAATGAGACAATGAAATGACAAACCATGAGGAAAGGAGGTGGCGGCTGATGGCTATGATGACTACGATTGATGGGGACGACAATGACTCTTGACAGCAGGCAGCAACAATTGCATCCAGTGCTGGAGGTTAGGGTTTGGGCTTTTTTAGAGAAGAGAGAGGGGATAGCACACTCTTTTCATTTTCATATTCTTCTCCTTTTCTCTTTTTCTTCTCCATATTGAGAAATTGTATGTTTGCGCATTACTATCTTTTCGTTTCTTCAATGGAAAGTTGTTTCTTGTTAAAAAAAAGTTTACAAAATCCTAATGGCTAACAAATCTCTAATTGCCCTAAGAAAATACGCAGTGCTCCAATACCATGTAAAGGTAAAAGATCTATTCCATCCAATAAGATATATATTAACAAGTATACACTGGTAATTTAAGTAAAAGAACGTAAAAGGACAATAAAAGACAATGTGTCTAAGATATTTATTATATATAACTACACTATTATAAGCACTATAACTGGGACAAAGAAGAGAGCAAGAGCATGAAAGAGGAGCCCTTAGTTTCTCACTCATTTCTTTTCATCCAATCAAATGAAACTTTTATCAAGAAACTTGGAGTTACATTTACTCTCTAAAGAGACTTATTCATTTCTATGATGCTAATGTCTCTATTCTGTAATTCATGATACAGGCGGTGGAAGTGGACATGAGCCTGCACATGCTGGATTTGTTGGGGAAGGAATGCTGACGGCAGCTATTTGTGGGGATGTTTTTGCCTCTCCACCAGTTGATTCGATTTTGGCTGTATGTTTTCTTGGCTATTTAATTGCATGTACTAGCTTTCTGCTGTTATGTTTGCATGACTTTGATATAATTGCGTGTACTAGCTTTCTAATACGTTTTTTGTTTTTTTTTTTTTGCATGACTTCGATTTAATTGCATGCACTAGCTTTTTGATGTTTTGTTATTATTTTGCACGACTTTGTTTTAAAGTAATAAAATTTCAGGGAATTCGAGCTGTAACTGGACCTATGGGATGTCTTCTCATCGTGAAGGTCTGGAATTTCTCATCCTTTATTTAATTGTGCAACGTTTTTAAATTTCTCATTTTGTTGGACCCTTCTTTTTACTGTCTGTTATGCGTTCATTCAGGTCTTTTTCTTTATACCAAGAAACAAACTTTTCAAAAATTGAAAAAATGTTCAAGCAATTGTTCTTTCATGTTCTTATATGCAGGACATTTGTATCTTACTTCACATTGCAGCATTTTGCCAACTTAATAAAAGTTCCATTTCCTCTAAAGAAAATATCACCCAAAGTTGGTTTTTCATTTTTTACTATATACATTTATTTATTTTTGTAAGGTAAATGGACCCTCACAGACATCCTTTCATCCATTTCATCCGCTTATAACAAAAGATTTATATTTTCCCTTAATTTTTAATTCCAAAGTATAAAAGTTTTAGTGATGAAATGATATGTTACAAAAGAGTACCAACATTTATATCAAAACAAAAAAACTGAAAACATTATATATCCTTAAATCCAACTGATAGATGGGGCTATGAAAGTTTATAGTGGTAAATGGGAAGAAGTGTGTGTGTGTGTGTGTTTTGGGTGTGGGGAGGGGGAGGGGGTATGTGATTACATTTTAATTGGGGGTTTTCCTTTAGTTGTGGGACCCAAAGCATATTAATCTATTAGTTTGCTTTACAAGGAAAGTTGGATTCTAGGGATGGTCATCTCTTGAGTTGTTTTTTGTACTTGGCTCTATGATTGCGGTAAGGAAAGGCAGAGATCTTTGGGATCTCCCTTCACTTGTAGCCTTTTCTACTTAAATAAACTGGTTTCTTTCAGTTTTGATATCAGTGCAGGGAGGTCCTTGGGTAATGGCTGGGAAGAGAGAGACAAGAATTAATGTGGTGGACGAGAGAGTGTCTACTATTTCAACATCTGCAGAAGAGAAATTATGGAGGGAAAGATGGTTTAGTTGAGGGCAGAAGCTAATCAGTATAGAACATGGCGTGGAAGCTATGGCTTAGAGAGTTGAAAGTTTGCCGTGCTACATTATGTTAGGGAGTCTTTGGGAAAAAGTAATGACTTAGAAGGAAAGAAACCATACAAGAACCATTGAAGGGGAGAAAAAAAGGATGGTGAGGGAAGTAATGTGAAAAGCGATATCAAAAGTGCATTTACCTCAAGCTGCAGAGTATTGTTGTTCAATATGAGATTTAGGAAGCCCGAACTCCCTATCTTCAAGGGGGAGGATTTGTCTTTTTTGTTAATCGATTGATTGAGGAAGACAAACTTGATGCCACAATTCTTTGTTTGGAGGAGGAGGCATTATCATGAAACTGATGGATGGAAACACGTACTTTTATTAAGACTTGTGTAGACTTTTGGGAGTTGCTTCTTCAATGCTTCAAGCCGATGCAATATGGTTTTCTCCATGAGATTTTTTGGCATTGAAACAGGATACTATCATGTGTGAAAATATCAATGTGTTTTGAGCGAGATGCAACACCACTAAATGATGTTTCGTAATTGATGTTGGAGGTTATTGAATGAGGAAATGCATAGGGAATTTTGATTGTTTATCCCAGTGCTTAGCTCAAATTATGAGATTAGCCTAAGTTATTAATAATAGAAATATAGGCCCCATTTCGAAATTTGAAGCTCCCTTCACTTCAATGGCCTAGGCAATTTATTCATCCAGTAGCTTAACCCGGACAATTTCCCTAAACCCTATGAGAAGTGTGACATTGTTGACGACACCTTTCACCCAAGTACCATAGATAGGTGTTAAGGGGAGTTCTGCAACTAGGGGGAAACGTCTTACTTGGAGTGGATTGCGGAGTGCTTCAGATGCAATGGGAAGTTTGCTTCGAGTCACAGATGCAAGAGGAAACTTCAAAGCAAACCTGTGCATGATTGTGATGGAGACGGTACTGAGTTGACTAAAGTGGTCGTTGATCAATTGGACAATTTAAAGTAGTGGCAATGGAGGACCAGTTCCTGATACAAGATAAAGCATCGCTTTCCTTGAGTTCAATGGTGGGTTTTGATCCACTTAGGACTATGGAAATCAATGATAAATCGGAAAAAAGGGTGTGGCTATCATGAATGATAGTGGAACGTCTCATGATTTTATCATTAAGGAGGTTGTCAAAGAATTAAGGTTACCATTATCTGTATCCTTAGATTATGGTCTCGTGTTGGGCACTGTATACATGATTTAGGGGCACAAAACTTGTAAAGGTGTGATTTTATCGTTAATTGATTTAACAATTATAAGTGATTTTTTTTCCTTTTCCTCTTGGAAATGTAAATGTCGTTATGGAAATTCAATAGTTAACCATCTTGGGAAAAGTTAAAATGGATTGGCAGAGTTTGAGATGAACTTCAAGTTGGGTGAGTGGGCCATTCAATTGAGTGGTGATTCGAGGCTTGACAATTCCCAAGCCTCTCTTTAAGTCCATGTGAAATCGATGCAGAGTGAAGATCAGACTGTTGGTTGAATTAAATGAAATTTCCTCTTGAAAACAAGGAGGCAAATGCACTTTCTCAATCACTTCTTCAAGATCTTTGATTGTTTTTGGTTGGTACTTTTGCTTCTTGGGAAGGTTTGGTTTAGTGGTTCTCTTTTGTTTGTTGGGGTTCACTTCTGCTTTTCTCATTGGTGGGTTTTCCATTTAGTTGGAGGTTCTTTCAACATTTTTCTCTGTTGCTTCTATTCAGCCCCTTTTTTGAGCCTTTTGTCTTTTTGGAGTTTTTATATTTCTCAGGAGCTGTCTTTGCCGCAGTTTAGAAAAAATCTAGTGTTTTTCTTAATGAAAATCTGGAATCTCAACATTTAAGGAATTTATGATAACCAACGCGTGAGCAATGGGTTGTCTGTTGTTCAATGAAACTAGGAATTGTAGTAAAAAGATCTGGGATAATGAACACATATTTATTTATTTTTGAATCATAGAAGGTTATTTCTCCATCTTGTGCTGTCACTCGGTAACCATGTTGCATAACATTTTCCTTTGCACCTTAATAAGAAGTGCTTTGATATCAATGTTCACAGAATTATACTGGTGACCGTTTAAATTTTGGTTTGGCTGCGGAGCAAGCAAAATCAGAGGGATATAAAGTAGAGGTAATTTCGTATTTTTCTGCTGGTCAAGAAAATGTGTAAAAATGGTAATCAAATTAAAATTAAGCTTTTTTTTTTGTTAGAAGACATAATAATATAATTTTTATTAATCATTTCTAAGTTCACATCTTGTTAAAAAATGTAACTATTTTTTGTTTGATCTGGAAGACTGTTATTGTTGGGGATGATTGTGCTTTGCCTCCACCTCGAGGTATAGCTGGCCGTAGAGGTTTGGCTGGGACTGTACTTGTTCACAAGGTTGGTGCTCTTTCTCTTGCTCTCATTTTATGCATGCATGTATATATGTATGTTTGTATATATATTTCAAAGTGGTTTAGATTTTGGTTGGAATTATTTCCATGCAGATTTATGTTAGCAAGATTTAGAATTAGTCTTCAATTCAATTTAAATGTTTTGGTTAAATATCGTAAGTAAATATATAACTTGTTCTACCTTTTAGCAATTATAGTGTAAACTCACTTATATCTCAGGAAAAGTACCATCTACCGATGAAGAAAAAACTAGACTAATGATATCATAAGTATCACTAAATACGGACAACTAATATTTACAACCATTATAAAGTAAAATCTAATGCTCTCCATAGCTGGTTTGATGTCTTCAATATTTTGTTGCTGATCCATTTGTCTGATTTGCCTTTTGGAAGCCCATTAGTTAGACATCGTAATTGGGTTAGTTTTCAAAAGATAAAGGTAATATATTACACTTGCATCAATTTTCTCTTTTGTGAAATGCTTGTCAACTAAAATGAATTGTTTGTTTCAACGAATATACAAAGACCTTGAATGATGATTCTAATTGGAAATTTGTACTAGGTGAAAGCTCTAGAACAAGTTAGCACATGGGACATTGTAAATTTACCGAAGGATAAGAAATCTGTTGGATGCAAATAAGTTTTATTATAAAATGTAATTCTAATGGTAGTGTTGAGAAGTACAAAGCTAGGTTGTCAATTTAGATTGACCTCTTCGCTTTGATGTTAAGGATGTGTTTTTCTATGGAGATCTAGAGGAAGAAGTAATTATGAATTTAGCTCTTGGTTCTGAGATGGATGATGAAAATAACAAAGCGTGTAAACTAAAGAAATCTCTTCACGGCCCTAAATAGCTGCCTAGAGCATGAGTTGAATGTTTTGAGGAAGCAGTCACTAGCAATGGTTTTCTTTTAAATCAAGCAGATCATTCATTGTTTTATAAGCACAGCGGAAACGACAAAGTTATCATGTTGATTGTGCCTGTTGATGATATTATCTTCACAGGTAATGATGAAGACAGATTGACTATTTTGAAAAGAAGGCTAACTAGTAAATTTCAGATTAAGGATCTGGTTACTTTAAAAGTATTTCCTAGAGATGAAATTCACTAGATCAAAAAAGGAATTTTTAGTTGACCTGAGGAAATATGTTATTGACTTACTTAAAGAGACAAGTTTTCTTGGTTGTAGAGTCGTTGAAACTCCTATTGAGCCGAATATAAGAGGAAATATATTATTAACTTAAAGAGACAAGTTTTCTTGGTGGCAGAGTAGTTGTAAAATAGTTGAAACTCCTATTGAGCTGAATTTGAAGTTGCAAGTTGCATCAGATGAAAAGATTAAAAATAAAGAGAAATATTAGACTTGTGGATAGACTCATTTCTTTGTCTCACACACGTTCTGATATTGCCTTTGCATTGAGCATGGTAAGCCACTTCCTACGCTCTTGTGTCTCAATCCAGACAAAGGATACTGTTTAAAAAGTTTGGTCATTTGCAAGTTGAAGTTTACATTGGTTCTGTTTGGCAAGATGGTATAGTAGATAGCGATCTACATTTGGTCATTGCTCTTTTATTGGAGGCAGCCTAGTTACCGGGAGAAACAAAAAACAAAATGTAGTAACAAGAAGTAGTGTGAAGTAGAGTTTAGAGTTTTTAATCCATGTATTTGCGAGAATATATGGATAAAAAGAATTCGTGAGGAGTTGACGCTCTCTAAAGAATACCTATGCATATTTACTGTGGCAACAAAACTGTCATCTTCATCATAACCCGCAGTTCGGTTCTACTTGATAGGATAAAAAATATTGAGATAGATAAACATTTTATAAAACAGAATTAATGCAAGAGTAATATGCAATAATTTGATAAACAAGTTCGCTATGGAAGACTTCTTCAAACTAGCTTGAGTGGGAGTATTGGTTTTATGTTTTCTAGTAATATTTATTGTAAACCGTTATTGTAATTTTTTTTTCCTTTTTTATTTAAAAGAAGAATAGAACTTTTGATTGAATAAATGAAAAGAGACAAATGTTCAAAGATATAAACTCCACAAGGGAGTGAAAAAATGAACCGAATGAAACACAATATGAACCACTACTGAGACTCAATAATGGACAAAAAAAAAGTGATTCATAGATTGAATGAACACCGATGAACAAAACAAAGAGAAATAGCAATAAAAGAGCCAAAATAACCAAGCACAACACAAAAGGCCGCCCACGGAAAATTGATCCAAAGACATCTTCAAATAGAAAAACCACCCAGAGGAGAAGCAAAATTGAGCCCAAAACACCAAGAGAAAATAACTGAACCCAAACCTCAAGAGAACAAACAAGCATAAAAAACGAATTCCTTATGAATCCATTGGAGCAATTTCACGCATCTCAAGACCACAAGATTCAATTAGAGAATCAAATTTTCCCGACACTGATGAAGGAGTAGAATTAGGGATGACATTGTCTCTTTCATGAAATAATGACACTAACTCATCATCAAAAGAATCTTCTACACCAGTATCATCAATTTTATTCTCCATAGGCTGAATGACAGATTCCACACTACACAAACTAACTTAAGACGCAATGTCAGATTCATCAACAAAATATGAAAGAGAATGCGGAGTAGAATGCTTTGATGAAAAAGTAACTCCACTGAAAATACAATCATGATCTTTACAGTAAATTCTTGTTGACTGCAATTTTGAAGGACAATTTTCTGAACATACGAGACCAAAATAATTGAACATTTTCTTTGATTGGATTCAAAGGAGTAATCTTGGAGAATGGAGAAGCTGAGGAATGGTGCACTTTTCTTCGAGTATAGCACACGAAATAAGCTGCAATAAAACAATTCTTAATACTTAGGGACTTAGAAGACGCAAGTGCGTTAAGGGAATCGCCAAAATGCATCTCAGTGGTCTGAAAAGGAATTTCTTTGACTGTAGGAGGAGCATTGGAAAAGACAGTTGAATCCAAGGCCTTTCTGCAGTAATAGAGGCTGATCATGTGAGCAGTGGTCCTGCAATGCATTAACGATACCTGATTTTTCCTCATTAACTGTATTTATTAGATTATTGTGATAGTTTCCTTGCCTGTGATAGGTCAGACCTCTAAATAACATGAACTTGTTTTTACTTTTTTAAAAGAAGACAATATTTCCATCTTGAATTTGATACTTTCTAATTCAGTTTATCATGACGCTTTCTTTTCTTTTCTTTCTTTTTTCTTCTTCTTCTCTCTTTCTTGTGTGTGTGTGGATAAGGAAGTTTTTGCATTAACGTCACCTGTTGAGCTTGTAGATGGGCTTAGACTTCTTTTTGTATCAAGTATTCCTAGTTGGAGGCTAACCCTCTGCCCATTCTTTAAGGGATGTGTTGTAATTCTTTATTCCACTATATATGGTTTAGATTGTGTTATCGAGTCTCAATAATTATATTAAGCGTTGAACTTATTGTTCTATTCTTTGCAAGTATACAGACAGGAACAACTACTTCTTTTGCTCACATTATTTTTCCTTGAATTGTATCGAGGAAAGGTTGCTGGAGCTGCTGCTGCTGCAGGGCTTTCTCTTTTAGATGTTGCCACAGAAGCAAAACATGTGGCTGACATGATTGGGACGATGGGAGTCGCATTGTCAGTTTGCACACTGCCTGGCCAGGTCACATCAGATCGCTTGGGCCCAGGGAAAATGGAACTTGGTCTTGGAATTGTAGGTTATTATTTGAGTTATCTCATCTTTAAAACTAAAGCACTTCTGGGAGTCCTTTTAACCCATAACCTTGTGGGGCTATCTCATCTCCCCTTCTTTTGTATTAGGTACCCTACCGTATAAAATTATCTGTCTTTGATTAAAAATAGAAAAAGCTAAACACTTCGTGCTTATTCTGCATGTTAAACGTTTACACTCCTTATAACAGTGACTGAGAACCTAATTCACAGAACTAAGATTCTTGATCTGACGTTCAACATTTTTTTCCCTTCACTTCCATTCATTTTACTTGGGATCAATACATTTTTGTCTCTGAATTATGACCGTTACTATTTATGATTTCTCATGTTTAAGCTAGAAATTTGATTTGTTTCAGCATGGTGAACCCGGTGCTGCTGTGGCTGACCTTCAGCCAGTTGACGTGATAGTATCTCATGTTCTCAAGCAAATATTATCACCGGTATGCTGGTAGTTTAGTCACAGTTTTCTCAGCCTTTGCACATGTAGCTTGTTAAATGCCAAAAAAGAGAGTTTTTGTTCTTGTTTTCTTATCACAGTCTGAAGCAAGCATTTAATGGAGTACACATGAATAAATAGGAATGAAACTACGGTACATTCAATTATAGTCCCTTTTCTGAATGGTTCTCCCACTTCTCCTAGGGACATGCCATATCTCTTCCCATATTCAATCTTTTTGAGAAGGGACGAGAAGTATACACCAAGACATTCTCTTATGCTTTATTAAGAACTTTTTCTCTTCACGAACATCCTCTTTAGGCCTCCTCCTTTTTTTGTTATAAGAAATAAATTTGCAATTATGAAAATGAATTTCAACGGAGAAGTAGGACTAGAAATCCTACTGACAACTAGAGACCTAGTCTTGCGTAATGAAAAACATGGACTAATATCTAAAAGCTTTTGTTACCCTCTTTTCTTCTATTGTTACTTAAGATTGCTTTAGTAGTATACTAATTTTTTAAATTGTTGTTATTATTATTATTTAAAAATGTGAATGTTCCACCTTAAGCTTCCAAGTCTTTCACACACTTGATCAATATTTTCTTTTATCCAATCAATCGAGAAATATAAATAACTTATCCCCAGAATGACGAACAATTAAGAAAAAGATGATCTGAATCTCATCATTCCCATGTCCACACCTTTGCCCTAATCAATCCCATGAAGAAGGAAGGAGAGGGCTTTACTGTTACAATGAGCTCTGCTTTTCGTTTCTTTCACCATGAATGTGGTCATTACCCATCATACCCTTAGAAACACCTTCATGGTCTTATATTTCCTGAATTTATGTGCTTCTAGATGTTCACTTTTCTAGCTAGAAACTTGAAATAGGAGACCAGATAAGTTTATGAGAGGATAAATGATGGTATAAGTTCTTTCTCTAGCAACGCTTTCTGGCTTTCTTGAACTCTAGTTCACTTAGGTCGAAGAAAGTATAGGTCACGTGTTATACATTGTCAACTTGCGACTTCCAGCTGGGGAGTTTTTCAATTTTCTGTTTCCTTGTATTAAAGTTCTGTAACGTAGCACAATTCTCGGAGAAACTTGAATCAATTTTTATTTGAATAATACCTCAATTCCAACCTTGGAACCCCTATATAAACGCTACAAAACTAGCCTTTTAATCCAAGGGAAACCTGTTTTACCTGAATGTAAACACTTAAACTTTTGCTGTAAAAACAAAGACTAACCACGGTAACCAACCAGAAACTACTAAAACAGAGGGAAAAACATGGGAACAGGGGAATAAAAATCAGTAGCTATACAGTAGTTCCTGTACTAGATCAATTCCTTCCCCCTTGGAACAATTTGTCCGTGAGTTAAGAAGCTAGCTGAAACCATCAGGTGCATGGTAGGCTGTGAGGGATACCTTGAAGGTGGAATGTATCTTAAATTGGGAAGGAATATCAATCTTGTAGGCATTAATTAGTACCATAGCATTGAAGAATGGGAAAGAGTCCAATTTTCTGTTGATGGAGCTTGCCATGAACACTCGAGGGTAGCCTAGACTTTGGAAAATGTACCATGACAAGATCCCAATCTCAAACATCTTCGAGCATAGGAAGTGGCAGCAGACTCCAAATGGTCATGTACCTCCTCGTGCAATTTTGCAATTCGGTCAGCCATTGCCTCTGCTTCCTGATGAACATTCAAAGAAGATAATCATGTAGCAAGATCAATAGTGTCCAAGGAATTTTAGTATAAGCAACCTCAAATGGTGACTTTTCTTTTGTTCTATTCCTCATATGGTCATAAGCAAACTCCAGTTGAGGAAGTGCGAGATCTCATTGACGTGGTTTGTCTCCACAACAACAACAAATCAAATTATCAAGTATTCGATTTGTAGCCTCAGTTTGTGCCTCATGTGGGTGGCTCGTCGAGCTTAGCTTCAAACCTATGCCAAACTTCTTCCTAAGAGTCCTCCAAAAATGTCTTAAAATTTGACATCACGATCTGAAACTATGGACTTAGGAATACCATGTAATCAAACCTCTTTAACAAACAAATTATCAATAGCAAGAGCATTCAAAGTTTTATGCTAGGTAAAAATTGTCACCTTCCTCTACCTACCAACAACCACTAAAACAGAATTGTATCCCCTTTGTGTCCTAGGCAAGTCTAATACAAAGTCCATCAAAAGATCCTCCCAAATAGATTGTGGTATAAGCAAAGGGGAATAAAATCCAGTAATTTGTGATCTCGTTGACTTGTGCCTACCCACCTTTTCAAATCCAACTTACCTTGTATGGATTTAGGTTATGATCCGTATTCAAGTGGAGAATTTGTGCGGCTTTTCATGAGATAATGTTCTCACTCCACCCACTATCAATGATCACATAACAAATCTTACCATTAATAGTGCAACGCATCCTAAAGAGAGCATGTCATTGTGGATGAGAATCATTTGTGGGGGTGAGTAATATTCTTCGGACAACGCTGGATAAATGCTCTCCATCATCGGCTTCCACGTAAGAAACTTCTTCTTTGGCCTCCTCTTCATAATCTTGATCGTTTTCTTGAAATGGCTATGGTTTCCTTTGAGGGCATTCATTGGATAGACATCCTTGTTGTCTACACCAAAGCACTTATCCATAGTTGGCCATTTATAGATGTTGGATTTCTTTGTGCCCATGCCATCAATATTCTTTGCTTGCTGCTGGTCGTTGGAAGGCCTCTTCTTTTTCTTTATCAGTTTTACTAGTGGAGGGGCCACCGGTTTGCCATTTCTTTGTGTGTCAGCCACATTTCTCATGTACCCTTGTTGTTTCAGCCCCATGGTAGTCTTCTAGTATTAACTCCCATTTTCTTGCTGGAACTATTGTCTTCAACCTTCCTTGCCAATGCCACAACTTCTATGAGGTAATAAATTGGCTGTAGATTTACCTTTTTCTTGATGTCTTTTATCAGTCCATCAACTAATCTGGCAATTTGATGCTGCTCGATTTCTGCTAAGTTGTTTCGGGCAGAACTCTTCAAAATATTCAGCTACTGCCCAAGACCCTTGAGAACAATGTTGGTATTGTTTGTGGAGCAATTGTTAATAATTAACTGTTAGAAGTCGACTCTTCTTTATTTTTCTTGGTGAAAGCTTAGATTCTTAAAAGAAAAAAGAAAAGTATATTGTATTGTATGCCTTGATTCTGTCTTCTTACTTCCTGAAAAATAATGTGTTTATTATTAACGGATTATATATCATGATTGATGTATCAACTTTGTGACTAGTGGTTTGTGACTACATATATTTTCGAGTCTTTTGACATGGAAATCCATAATTCACATATTCGTTGTCTTGCTATATAGGGGTACCCGAAACATACATTATAGAGTTTATAACCTTGTATTTTACATTTCTATGAGTACATTCGTTATCTCAAAATTCTTTTTACCTAAAAAGAACAATTGGGTTCAATTTTACCGGCATTCTTGTTCTTAAATAATTTTGTAATATCTACAGGAAACTAACTATGTTCCAATAACACGAGGTAATAGGGTGGTGCTCATGGTTAACGGGTAGGTCGACAGATTTATACCTTACTTTTTTGTTATGTGCCTCCTAGTTTATGATAACAACCATCATGTTATTGAGAATGTCAAATTTGTCAATATGACACTAGAATTTTCTTCGCGTATAAAATTATGTGAAATTTAATTCTATCACCGTGTGGAAACTTTGGTCTCTGGCTGGAATTATACTGGAGGAGAAACAGAAATGTTTTTTTTTTTAGAAAAAGGTTTAAAATATTGAGGGATGGAGAAGTCTTCTAATTAAAATAAATTGGCATAATGGTTTACCAAACGGGTTCTTACGAATTTTTCTCCTAGCAAGTATCAAAATCTTTTTGGTATATATATGGCTTTTATAATCCAATAAATAGCTGAATTTGCAGTTTCCGAATCATTGGTCGCTGAGATTTATTGTGCCTTTAAGTCTTAATCACCTCTAGTATATGAGGAAATATGACAAGGAATTATGCCTCACTGAGGTAAATATATGGATGAATTTAAATGCTATCACTAGTTCAGGAAAATCTGTCTCTCAAGGTCATAAATATATTTGGCAACTACAATCAGTAGTTAAGGAAAATCTGTCTCACTAGGTCATAAATAAATTTAGTAAGAAGCACAATTTTGATGGAGAGAATTAAAAGAAGAGGGGATGCCAAGGTAAAGGAACTCCTGTCAGTCATAAAGGTTCGATATAAAATTATATACTTGACGGTGCATGGAAAAATGTTTCTAAGAAGTGGAAAGAGAAGCTACGGATCTTTTCCCATGAAACATCAAAATCTTGAACTATATAATGAATAGTTGTTTTTGATAGGATTGATAATCAATTAGATTGAGACTTTCTCATTTAATGAAGTAAAGAGGTTTTGGAGTTACCGTCAGGTAGGTTTTACTTTTATAAATTTATATCCTTTGTTTATTTAATGGTAAACTTGTAGGATTTATTCCCTCATAGATTTTTGTTTTCTTCTTGAATTTTCATTGAAAGAAATGAAAGACTATTCAAGGGAATACAAAAAACAAGCACACCCACAGAAAATTGCATAAACTAATTACAATAACGGATCCCAATCCAAAAGAATAAAGCCAAGCTTATACTTATGAAAAGGCCAATTAGAGGACACCCACAAAGTCGAGTTAAATCTAATTAACTCCCAAAGATCCTCACTCGATCTCTTAGACCCTCTAAAGATTCTAAAGTTCCTCTCAAGCCAAATACCCTACAAAAAAGCAAAACAAATCTTGCTACTGAACTCTCCTCCCTTGTCGTGAAAATGAGGGTTCAAGAGTACCTCCTCAATCATAAAGCAATACCCTTTTGTTACGAGCCAGAACAACCCTGAATGTCCTCCAAAATCAACTCCAATGGGATCAAACTAATGGGACTCCCACAGAAGATGGTTGAGGCCCTCCTCCTGCTTCCTTGAAAGAACACATCATTACGGCCTACATAAAAGAAAAGTCTCTGGAGACGACCCTGAGTGTTCACTCTCTTTCTAGACAAAACATTTCACTTTCTTAGAAATTAATCTTTTAAAGAGAGGAGAATGCAGAGGCCCTGTGGAAAGAGAAGGAGCGCAAAGGATATGAGAAAAAAAAAACTTTGAGAAACCTACCCTCAGGCAACTTCGAAATCCTAAGCCTAGAATCCCTTCTCTCAATGAAGGCTGTTTGAATTCATCAATCTCAATGCTCGGCTGGGGATAAAAACAAGCATTAGAGCAAAAATAACGTAGCTCAATTGTGAACTTTCTAAGGCTTACTCTTACATTTGAAAATTATAGGCAGTAGAAATCCTTGACCAAATAAGTCAAAAATCTTATTTATTGTAAAACTTACATTAGTCTTGCGTGTGATAAGAGTGCAATATGCCACTAATTTCAGAAGGATACAGAAGTGTTGAAGATTAGTGCAACAACTTTTGGCTGGTGTATTGGCTTGGAAGAAACCACATACTAATTCAGTAACAAATCTAGTAGTTGATTTGACTTAGCCAAGTTCCATTACGTCTTCTGGTGTTGATAGCCAAGTTCCATTACGTCTTCTGGTGTTGCCTCTCCTCCATTCCCCCCTTTATCTTTAATCTATCTCCCTAAGTTGTTTTCATGGGGAAAAAATAAAAAAAAAAATAAAAAAAAAATAATAATAATAAAAAAAATTCTCTCCCTATGTTGTTAATACTCTTTGGGGTGTTAATATTATTATTATTATTTTATTTTTTATTTTTAATTTTGTGAGTTTCTGGTAAACTTGAAATCTGATGACTATAGTGGATCATTCAAAACATAAATTTAGCTTTGAGTGCCAACCTTTTCATCAATTTGAACCCTAAATTCAATATAAATAAAAGATCAAGTGAATATAAAATAAAGTCCAATATATGGGTACTGCTAAAAAGAATGATAACCAACAGTCTTTATACCACATATTATTTTGACATGCAACATACATTTGAGTGCATAGTACTCCAAAGAATCAATTCAATTTCAAACCTTGGTCGTAGTATTTGAATATGAATTATATTATTCTGTTGTGAATCTTGTGATGAAGCACCATCAAGGATGTAAGAATTTTGACGACTTCATTTGCTCGTTTTTCCTTTCAATTTAGACTGGGTGCTACCCCAATGATGGAATTAATGATAGCAACTGGGAAAGCAGTTCCTAAGTTGCAGCTAGAGCATGGGTTGGCTGTTGACAGAGTGTACACTGGTTCATTTATGACTTCTCTTGATATGGCAGGTTTGCTACTTTCTGCGTGAAAGAATGTTCCTTTTTTTTTTCTTCAACAAGAAGTTAACTTTTCATTGATAGTTTCAAAAGGAAGAAGGTAGGTTCTCTGAAACTGCATGCCTGTCAGGTTTTTCAATTACCATCATGAAATCAGATCAAGCTGTTTTGCAACGGTTGGATGCTGCAACCAAGGCTCCTTGTTGGCCCATTGGTGCTGATGGTCCGTGTCAAGTGTGAAATATACTTTGCTTCTATACTTGGATGTTTTCTGTTCTAATGATTCTTTGGTTAGATACTCTTTCTACTATGGGATAGATATTTGAATGAGGTATTGTACTTTACTGTAGGCAGTCACCCACCTGCCAAAATACCTGTTCCAATACCACCACCAGCTCTTGCTACAAAGAACGGGGAGGTATGGTTATAAAATCCCTAATTAAACTGAGACAAATTTATGTTATATAAATGTTTTAGAAAGTTACCACATTTCAAAGCTATTTGTACTCTTTAATTAGACATTTGGTGGACCCCTTCAACTAAATCAACAAGGCCTCATTCTAGAGGCTGCAATTGAGGCAGCTGCCAAAGCAGTGATCAATCTCAAGGACGCATTAAATGAATGGGATAGCAAAGTGGGCGATGGTGATTGTGGGTCAACGGTTGGTATTACTGTAACCTAAGTCTTGTTCATTTATGAATCATGATACAAAACATCCTGAAGAGTTCATTCTTTCAATTTTTCCTACAGATGTTCAGGGGTGCAACAGCTGTTCTTGAGGACATAAAATGGCAAGTATGCTCACTTAAACTGGTTTAGTCTTCTCATTGGAATATAGAAGTTTTTCTTAGTATGTCTAACTTATTTTTAGATTCCTGACGTTTTCTTCCAAAGATCATGCAAAAACGAAAGGCCTAGAATGTCTTGCACCCTGCCATTACTAAACTCTCAATGAAAAAAGAAAAATATATATATATTTGGTGGAAGTTATATGAAACCATAATAGGATTCTTGGCGTTATTTGGAGTGAATACCGATATAGCCAATCAATTTCATAGAATTTTTTTCAATCAAATAGTTTTCTTTAGTAACTAATGAATGATTATGTTATTATTGTCTAATCTGATGTTTAGAATTGCATTCTGCTACCTAAAGGAGTTTTTAAGCTTGGCAGAAGAAGCTAATTGACTGGTCAAATCATAAAATAGTCTGCGACTTTACAATTGAATCACTCTCCTTGAGATTCACAAGGGGAAAATAATGGATTTTTATAAACTACCCTCTTTGAGAATGTATATGATGACGATGTCAATGGCATAGTTTAACAATTTGTAATGCGAGTAAACATAGTAGCCAAATTTGGTTGTTGTGGCTTTCACTTTTCTTTTACTAGTTCATAAAGAGGTGTGGTATTCTTTAAATGTATCAACAAACCAAAATACCACATTAAAAAATAATGTCTCGTTCAAATATCTATCCAGTTGTACTGCAGTTCCTTACCTCCAGAAGAAGAATTTTGTTTTTTTGGGGGACCTTTATCTATATGGTTTTTAAGTCGTCCTGCTATTTTCTTAAAAGTAAAAGTAAAAAAATAAAAAATAAAAAAAATAAAAAAAACAAGAAACCACTTGTCCTTATAATGCAAAGGAATTATAGTTTGATACATACTCCCAAGCTTCCAAAAGGCAGCCTAGTTAGTAAGGGCGTTCTGCATTTTATTGACTCTTCCTTTGTAAGTGACCTTTGAACTTGACCAATATTTCTATGTAATTCAAAATTGCCTTCTGAAAGGAGGAATATCCCATCCTCGGATGGCTACCCCACCTTAGTAGTCTCTCACAACACCCAATTCATCTGAAGCAGCGTAAAAAGATCTAGGAACATAAGCTTTTACGGCTTTCTGAAATCCAATAATTGACCCTCAAAAGCCAAACCTGTGTCCTTTTCCCAAGGAAAAATTAGGAAAGATGATTAAATAGAGGGTTGGTTACATCCAGGGGTTGAAAAGCCACTCTTCAGCTTGGACGGTCATGTGGCCTTAGGGATTAGGTTTACTGTAAGCGGTGGAGAATTTCACATAAATTAGTTTAATAGTTTGAGTCTTTGGAAAACGTATTTCAGATAGGTTTAGCCACAGGGAGAAAATGTAGAATGAG